AATTATTATAGCAGCATTCCTCAACTTAATAGAGTCCATGTAAATCAGACTGTAACTTGCAATATCTCTGGCCAGTATAGCCAGCTCTGGAAAGAACTAATGATTTCTTGAGGTTCAAACAAAATATTGCAAGTAACCCAGTTTTGCTCAAAGGTCATTTCATTTACTATGACCACAGAGCCGTGACATTTTCAAGACACATTTGTCATACTGTGTGCATGGCTTCAGTGTGAGAATCAGAACATATGCGTTGGCTGGGTACTTTAAGGACTTCTGCTTTTATTTTAACCAAATTGGAGGGAGGGAGGGAGGGAGAACTGAACTATCCTTTGTTTGAGACTTGTATCAGCATTTTCAGATATGGTTTGAAAATTGAACTAACTTTTTGGAAGAAACGAGCAGGCTTGCATTATACCATTCTATTTTTAAAAAATGTAAAAATTGTACATAAAAGTAAAGGATGAGCAGCCTTCTCAAACCTTCTCAGGTTCGAGCATTGCAACACTGCGCAGCTTTTAAAAACACAGCAGTCTTTGTGCTCCTGCAAACCACATCTGCCCATTTACAAGACATGATGACTAGGTTCACACTGTAGATCTAAGCTAGGGTTTGATCAGCCGTAAACCTTAAACAGGTGAGGCAGCAAATGGTAGTGTCCACTTTGTTGAATACGCCCACAAAATTATATACAATACATCCCTACATTACGGATATTTCAGAAACATCTTAAAGCAGTTTTATCTTAACAAATCTTTGGCCCAACATGACTGCTTGAGGTATTGAGTTTCTAGTGTTTGTATTATGATGTTGGGCTTGGGGTTTTTGTTAGTTTATATATCGGTATATTGCTGAATACCATCCAGTGTCCTCCAGGATTGAAGTAAGTTATAAAAATACAAGTAAATAAGTTATAAAAATACAATTAAATACATAACTAAAGAGACCAATCAAATCATAGAATGACTTAGCATGTGACATGGGTCAAGCGTATATAACAGAGGGGTTTGTGATAATTTCTAGGAAGCCTCAACCAAAGGATGAAAGTAGAAATCTGAGCATCTGCACTCCATGGCTTTCTCTTACCTCCATGCGTAACTGAGACTCTGATCTACAAAGTCCCAAAAATATATCAAGTTGCAAGTACAAGAGTCACCACGTCCTCAACATTCCATCATTAATCTTAAGGACAACTGAACAATTCTTCCCATCTATGTTCAATTTAGAATCAGGAATAACTGTTGAACTGTATGTACAGTTAAAGCTCTATTTATGAACGGAACGAGAACCTCAACAATGACTTTCTATAAACCACTTTTGTGAGGCACTTTATACAGCCTCCATTTGTTGTTTTGTAAACAATCTGAAGGAGAGGACTTTGACTTTCAGATTTTATTTCAATCAGAAAAGAGAGTCACAATATATTGTATTTGCACAACCATTCCAGAACTCTTCTATTGATGGAGACAAGGATGTAAGTTACCTTTATCTTATGCTAGCCAATGATTTATTTAAACAATTAGTTGAACAAATCATAATCACCTGATTCAAATAGCATGTTAAACCATTCTCCAGGTTTGATAAAAATGAAACTATATTATGGTTTAGTACTCATATGAACTCAAACATTATAGCTTAACAAGTAAGTTTCTAAACTTTAGGGGCCAACTGGCATATTTGGAGATTTGAGAGTCTGTAATGGATGCCAACAAAATGATTTCCATAATGGCTTTTTATGAAAATATCCATTTATCCTAAAGCAACTCAGTGACACTGCTCCTAGCATCTGCTTTTCTATCTCAGCTAATTTCTGTGGAGATTCTCAATCATCCAGGTCATGGTTTTCTCAAAGGTCCTTTTTCAAAAGGCAACTGGACTTTGTTTTTCCTTGAAGCCGTTTCGCTTCTCATCCAAGAAGCTTCAGTCAGAACTGAAGAAGCTTCTTGGATGAGAAGCGAAACGTCTTCAAGGAAAAACAAAGTCCAGCTGCCTTTTGAAAAAGGACCTTTGGCTCAGCTAATTTCCATTTTCCAAGCAGATGGTCACATTGTTAAAAAGAATGATTCTCCCTTCCCCTCTCATTTTAATTTTTTTAAAAGAACTTCCTACTACAACCATTTGTTTAGTGACTGTTCAAAGTTAGAACAGCATTGAAAAGTGACTTATGACCATTTTTCACACTTATGACTATTGCAAGCATCCCCATGGTCACATGATAAAAAATTTGGCTGCTTAGCAACTGGCTCTTATTTATGATGATTGCAGTGTCCTGGGGGTCATGTGATCCCCTTTTGTGACTTTCTGACAAGCCCAATTCACTTCATAATACTCTTAACAACTGTAGTGATTCACTTAACAGTGGTGGCAAGAAAAATCATAAAATTGAGCAAAGCTCACTTAACAACTGTCTCACTTAACAACTGTCTTGCTTAACAATATAAATTTTGGACTCAATGGTGGTCATAAGTGGAGCACTACCTGTATGTTCAGTCCCAAAAGCAGTCTTAAAAAGTCCTAGTTTAAAAAAAAAATTTTTTTTTTAAAATGCTTTCAAACAGGGGGTAGTAAGTCCTTGATATGCTCCAGTTAGGATGTTTCCTAACATGAGGACATGGAATGTCAAGTTAGACAATAAGATTTCTTTTGATATATGAGCTGCAAAGACAGTATGATAATGCACATTTATTGCCACCTGCCCACAGTCTATGATGGGAGATGAAAAAGTAACTTTGGCTGCTCAAGTTTATACATTATTCTAAGTCATAAAATGCCTTTGTGTCTGGCTTACCATGCTCGCTTAGCTATTCTGGCTTGTAATTTACAGTCTTACAGCTGGAATAGGCAATATTTGGCTGGCTGGGGGCCTCAGGAGAGCTGATATACAGGGACTAAGACAGGATTTTCTGTGTTCCTCTGAAACTGGACAACAGGTCACGTATGGAGGCCTATCTTTAACTAAATTTAAGTTAACCTCCAGAAGAGATTTAAATTACACTTCTCATTTTCCTGCTGTCACTAGAAATCACATTGGTCTGGGGTGGTGCATCCAAGCTTGATATGAGCTCAAGTTGCTCAGTCCTGGTTGAGATTGTTGTTTGAACTTGACTATGACTTATTCAACAAATCAAGACCAGTATAAGCCATGATTTCTTGCATGATGTGAAACTCCTTCTGCTTTGGCATTTATCAAACTTGTAAACTGCCCATCTCACCTGAGTGATTCCAGGTGGTTTATATATAAAAACCAAAAAAACATAATAAAAAATGTTTCTAGGCTGGCACCTTCACCACTACACCAGACTGGCTTGTTACATGTATATCCTGCCTTTCATTCAGAAACTCAAGATGCAAGGTGCATAGATCCATTTCTTTCCCTGTGAGTTAGGTTAGACTGAGAGTAGTTGGTCCACCAATCATCCATACCAAAGGAGGGACCTGTGAGCCTGGGTTTTCCCACTCTAAAGCTCCCTTTCACCGAATCTCTCGTTGTCCTGCCTGAATAATGCTAACTGAAAAGGATTTTAGAGTTGAGATCTTTTCCTGCAAATATCTATAAGCATTACAGAAACACTCCAGGAAGGTATGCTCTGGTATGCCTTCTAAACTTTCCCTCGGCATTGCAAATGGAAAAGATGGGGGGAAAGTGGGTTATAACCCTTTTGTCGACTCCTAATTAAAAAAAAAAAAAAAAAGACAGGCGAGGAACCAGCCCAAGTCACCTCATCCTCTCGCCGGCTTTCACCGCGTCAACCGCCGTCGGAGGTTGTTCGGTCAACGAAGGCAAAGGGCCCACCTCCTCAAGGCTCGAAGCGCCGCCCCCTCCGTCGCCCACCTCCGATTGGCTACGTCCGCTGCCGGGCAAGTGGGGTGAGCCGCGGACTGTGCTTTGCCGAAGGGAAGCGTCCGCCCCCGAGCCGGGCGGAGGGACGCTTCAGCGTGGAGGGCGATTCGGCGTTGCTCTCCTTTAAAGATACTTTGAAGGCGAGGGAAATTGCTTGGCCTCTCGGGGATGTGCACGGCTGCAGGAAACAAAGGTCGGCAGTGAAGCAACCGGCTTCAGATCGCACATCTTTGTGCACGCAGCCACGCCCTTGCACACGTCTTGCTTCCAATACGATGCAATCCTGTTCCGGTTTCGATCCTCTCACTTTTTTTTCCTATTTTTAGCGTCTATCAGGCGCTTGGTGCACTCAAAACCAAGTCGTGTTTTGCAGCCGGCTTAGTTTCCCGCCCTGGGCTTTTGCCCGACGCTTCTTTGCCACCTCGGGCTGCATTCACGCAACACGCTCCACCCATTTGCTTAATCCTTGGGGGGGGGGGGTTGTACGGTGCATCGACGATTCCCATGTTAGGCCAACGGGCTGGAGTTACACAAGGTGCTAAAAAGCATGGTTAGTAGTAAGTTGGCTTGGCACGCAGAGCAAGCGTACCTTTTTGATTCATAAGCGACCTAGGGTTGTATGATCGTAGCCTACGATATGCAAGGCGTGGAATTGCTCTCAGCGCGCCCTGAAGCCTAGTTAGGGTCAGGTGCACACATCACTTTGCCCCGTGCGAGCAGTCGGCGTCCTTACCGCTGAAATCTTTCTAGCCCGCGATCGCTACAACCGCCGCTTTGCAACCGCAGCGCTGAACGCTGACGCCTAATTCCCCCTACCCGTCTTTAAGGGCAGCAAAGGGTGCAATCTTTTCAGAACAGTTGTGCAAGCTTTTAAACAACTAAACCTAAGGAGGACGGGCTTTACTTAGGAGTAAGTCCCGTGAACTTTGTGAAATCCTCCTCCCCCAACCGAAAGCATTGTAGGGCAGCGTTCTGCAAACCATGCATAAGAGGGTTCTTTTTTTTCCTTTTGGATTTTTTTTTTTCTTTCTCCCGGGACTTTCCATTGTCTTTCAAGTACCCCTTTCTCCTCGCGCCACATCGGCATGACGTCATGAGTCCCCCCCCCTTTCCTAGATCCCTTCCCATTTGCCTCCAGCCGCCCTCGCTACGTCACCATCAGCCCACAATTTAGCCGGAGCTCGCGCTCTCCTCGCCTTCCCCTTCTTCCTCTCCTCCAGCGGTGCCGGAGCCCGCTGCCGCTTAGACCCGCCCCTTCGCCCTTCCCCGCCGATCTCTATACAGCGTGACTGAGCCGCCGCTGCTGCCGCCTCCTTCGCTATTGCCGGAATCCGTTGCTCGCTGCCTTAAGTTGCCCGCGGAGGCCGAGGACGCGAGGAAGGTGAAGCGGAGTCTTGCCAAGCCCTTCGCGCAGGAGCCAGGCCAGGTGGGCCTCCAGGAAGGGAGGGAGAGCCGGGAGGGGAGAGGGTGGGCATGCAGCTGTTGATCGCCGGGGCGGATGCTCCCTGCTTGGGATCTGCCCCGCGGGGAAGGGAAAAGCCGGGCGGAGCACCGCATCTCCGTCTCAGGCACCGCGCCGGTTACTTTGGAGCCCGTCCTTCGGCGGGCCAAGTATCTGAGAGCGGATCCTGGCCTGGGGAGCGGCGGCCGAGGATTGGCTGAGTCCCGCTGACAGCCATCGAGGGCTGTTCGACAGGCGCCGGCCGGGGTGGGGATGAAGAAGCGGAGGGTTCAAGCGGGATTTGCGCAACCTTGAGAGAGCTCCGGTGCTGTGTGGGGCTCGCTTCTTCTCCCACCCCCTCTCCCCGAAGGCCCATCGGGATGGGCTCCACGTGCATCCGCCCTTCCTTCGCTTTACCGTTATTGCTGGGCGTGCAGTGGCAAAAGCGGAGAGGAGCCGAGGCGGCCTAGGGCGAGTTTCGAAAGGGAAGCCTGCGAACCAGTTGCTGCTTGTTTTCTTTTCCCGGCAGAAGCGGCCAGCATTGCAACAAGTGCTGCATGCAGCGCCGCGCTCCGCGAATCTCTGCCGCAGCTGGAAGGCTGAGTGGCTGGCAGGCACTTGGCACGGGGACTGGTTTCCACGCTTGCAAGGGGAAGGCGAGCTCGGGCTTTGGAACCACAATTCCCAGAAGCCTTTGTCGCTAGTCGAATTGGCTAGGGCTGATGGGAGGTGAAACCCAAAACATCTGGAGGGCACCGGGTTGCTTCTTCTGCATTAGAAAATAAGAGACAGTGCAGTGAATGCATTTCAGTCTTTAGAGGCTTGCTTCTTTGAACTAAGTCCCTATTGGAACTGGATGCTTGTGTGTGATGAATGTGCACGTTGGTGTGGGTTGGAGCAGGTAGCCTTGAATTGAGGTTGGCTATGGTGATTGGGACTTTTCAATAACAAAGTATTTAGTCAGAGCTGAACTGGGTTTTGCAATTAAATGATGGTTGAATGTGGGTTTTCTGTTTGAGATCCCAGTCCAAACGTTGATGATAACTGTCCTATAGCAATGTTTTTCAACTGTGTGGAGTTCAACTCTCAGATTTTCCCAGGAAGCATGCAGGAGTTGAAGTCCATGCAGCTTAAAGTTACCGAGATTAAGAAACACGGGCCTATAGTCTTCATGATAAGAACATATTAATGTATGATCTTAACTGTTGCCTGCAACCATTCAGTCATTCTGCTCCTTAAACAGGTGATTGAGCCAACTCTTCCAGGATTTAAATACATGTAGTCCTTGACTTGCAAACATTCATTTAGTGACCATTCAAAGTTACAATGGCACTGAAAATTACTTAATGGGCAGTTTTCATACTTCTGATCATTGCAGCATCCTCATAGTCACATGGTCAAAATTTGAGTGCTTGACAACTGACACTTATTTGGTTGCACTGTCCTGGGGTCATGTGATCACCATTTGTAACCTTTGCTTCCAACAAGCAAAGTCAATGAGGAAGCCAGATTTGCTTAATGACTGCATGATTCACTTAACTGTGGCAAAAGGTTGTAAAATGGGGCTAAATTCACTGAACAGCTGCCTTGCTTAGCAATGGAAATGTTGGCCTTAATTGTGATTGTAAATCAAGGACTACCTGCATATGAATAATTTTCCTTGACTGGCAAATATTCTTAGTCAACAAACACATTTAGATTGCAATAGTATCTACATATTTCTAGTTGTGCCCCAGTGATTGACGGAATTGCATTAAAGTAAACATGCATATGGTTGCTTTTTGAAACTCTAAATTTATCATCTAATTTACTGTATGGCTGCAGATTAAATTGTGCTGATATTAAGTTTTATTGACATATCCGGCAAACATTGTTCTATGAGCAGCACACTTGTAAAACTTGTTAATCGTCTGTTGCTCAGATTGCAATCTCCATCAATCAGAAAATGCAAAAGGGTATTCATTAAGATGTATATGTGTAAATACAGATTTAAAATGTATTTATGGAAATACAAACTTAAGGATCAGTCAGTGCTGTGTGATTTAGATGAAGGCGGATATCTCTGCTTTCAACAAAGAAGAGTTTTTGATTGCATCAAGGGAGATAATCTAATTAGACTGCATTGAAAAGCAAATGTGGTCTATCCTTTCTCCAAAGGTGAATTTCTGTGTTTTGTAGGTGTACTTAATTGGGGTGTTATATTATTTGTTGGAGGAAGTGGGGAAAATTTTGAGGCAACATCTAGATAATTATTTTTCATACAATTTTGGCAGAATTGTATAAATATCTTGGAACAGATGTGTTGGTGCAGGTATAATCAACAAATTGGTAATTTGTCTTTAAGATTTTGTTTAATTGAGATATTGTGGTTATGATTAGATGTTGGTCTATCTGAATTACTTTCCTTCGAGATTTACAGAAATAGACTGCCCCAAAGGGTGATAGCACTTACTAAATATTAAGTTGCTCTTGTTAGACAAAAAGATAGAATTCTCTCTTCTCGGAGCTTAACTGCACCTGGACTCTTGCAATACAAAAAGTTTGGAACTGCATGAATCACAGTTTTGTAGTTTTGAAAGGTAACACCATTGCTTAGTCAGCAAGAAAGCTTGGTCTCATGATACAGTATAAGATCTGTCCTGACTTCTTTAAGAGAAATCTGCTGATTATGGGAAGTTTATTTCAATGAAAGAAGAGACCAGTAAGATAATATAGACCTGAGAGCTGATCTTAGGGTCCTGTTATACCATAAACACCAGAATAAAAGTATTGCTCGTGGTTGCTATTGTACTTAGATAGGAAAAAGCACAAGAATTGTAATGATGAGTTAAACTTGTGAGAACAGTAGACATTCCACAGTCTTATTCCCAGTAGCTATTAAGGACACCACACAAGTCATGATGTTATGCAAGGATAACTTCCACATTTTACTTGTGGCTGGAAAATGATACTTAGACGTTATGATGGCACAAGGGCTGTGCAACCTGTAACTTGAGGACCATGTGCACCACTGAGGATTCAGTTGCATAACCCATCTGTCCTTAGCAACCTAGAGCTAAGAAGAAATTTCTTAATGATTAGAACCATTAACCAGTGGAACAACCTGCCTCCAGAAGTTGTGAATGCTCCAACACTGGAAGATTTTAAAAGAGACTGGACAACCATTTGTCTGAAATGGTATAGGGCAGAGGTGTCAAACTGCTGGCCCACTGGCCTGATGCATCATAGCGAAACTGCACCCACCCGATTGCTGGCAATGGCAAAAAAGTCACGATATATTGCGACACGTCACATGACATTGCGAGTTTGACACCCATGGTATAGGGTTTCCTGCCTGAGCAAGGGGGTTGGACTAGAAAACCTCAAAGGTCTCTTCCAACTCTGTTATTGTTATTGTTAAATACTATTGACCACCAGTAATAAACCAACATCTTCTGCCTCATTCTGTGACTTTGATGTGTCTGTTCACTTTACTTATTTTGCTCTCATTCATTTATTGCTAACCTGGTAATTCATGTATAAATAAATGTCAACCCTTCAAGGTTGTCCGGATCAAGAAACAGACTGCATAAGAAGACTAGAACTTTTTTTTTTTTTTTGAACTAAGCAATTATAACAGAATCATGCAAAACTGATTGTGACTTTCCTCCCCTCCTTCTCACACCTCCAATGAGAAGAGCCAGGCTAAGGAGGAGTAAGAGACTATCGTAGGAGTCTCTTCCTAATTCTGTCTCCTTTCCTGGGGTTCAAGAAATGCTTGCGCTCTTTTTTTTTTTTTTTTGTAATGTGAATATTTCCTCAAGGTCATCTCCAAAGTGTCTGTCTCAAAGGGAGAAAGTTGCTCTTGAGTTTAAGGTAGGTGAAAATTAGTAGTTAAATAGTTATTTGCAAAAACATTAATAATCAATTATGCCTTTGTCTCCATCACCCCTTAAAGCAGTGGTTCTCAACCTTTTTAATGCCGCGACCCCCAACCGGTCGTAAGTCGAGGACTACTCAACTGGTGCAGCACTGTTTGCAGAATGGGACTTTTGGCGGGCTCAGCAGGGCAGAGACAGCCTGGACAATTCCTATTGGCTTTTGAAAGCCAATAGAATTAGACTCTATTCAAGAGAGTCTATTCTATTGGCTTTCAAAAGCCAGTAGAATAAAAGGGAATAGCACAGCTAAGGAAAAGGGGGGAAAAATGGCGAACTGCGTTGTTTGGTGACCCCCATGAAATGGTCGTTCGACCCCAAATGGGGTCCCGACCCACAGGTTGAGAACCACTGTCTTAAAGCATTTTGTATGGCTACACCTAGTGCAGCTTCTAGCATGATGTAGCCCTCATCTCAAGAATATTTGCATACTTCTGACCTACTTAGGGATATCTTTCAGGATCCAGATTATAAAAACCAGCTTAAAAGCTTCTTTACAGAGGTATTTATTAGTTTCTGCCTGCCATTCTCAGAAGGGAAGATACAGGGTTTTTCATCTATTTCTGCATTTCTGTTTCCTGTCTCAGTGTACTTGCTGGGTTGGGAGTAACTTTAAATGTATTTGGAGTAGTTTAACTACTGAAGAGAAATGACGTAATCCCAAGGTGACTATTATTTGCATAAAACTTGCATAAACGTTCAGAAGGAAATAGCGTTTTGCCCCAGGTAATTAGCAGCTTTGTAGTTGCGTAATCCCTTTGTTAGAAATAAATGGCTTCATTTCCCTGAATCTGGGTTTAGAACAAGAAGGATGGTGCAAAATATTTAGCAGCTGGTAATTTTGTAATGCCATACTTATTAGATAGAATTGCATGGTACACTGATCAGGCAGGCTGAATAATAACACTGGACATAAGTGCAATAATTTGTTGGAAGAAATCTTCACAGTGCATAGATCTTTAATAATTTAATTTGTTGCATTCTAATTAAACTGGGGCAATTTTAGCTATTATTTATTTGGTTGGCATTAAGGACCTAATTTAGGATAATGTGTGATGAGCTAATATT